GGAGGGCCTTTTCCAGTTCCCAAATTTTATGTTGCCTCTGGAAATAGATGGTGATTTAAGTAGGATGGAGCAGAAAACAATTTGTTTGAAAGTAGAGGAAAACAATAGATAACTCTTAAAACCCCATTTGGGTTGTGCACTATTAATAATCATGACTGTAATGCTTTCAGTACACGAGAAGACCACTTCCATTGTTTGTGGCAGTACACTGAGGCCCCTACCTCCACAAAATTATTAAGAGAAAAGACAGCCGGAACTGCATTCTATGTTTAGTAGTTTTTCTGCTTGGCTTGTGCAGTTCACACCTCCCTTAATCTTTGCTGGTAATGGCTAATAAAAGCAAAATGTATTGAGCACTTACTATGTCTGAGGCACTTAGGCCAGCCTCTGCTGAGCATGATCGCATTGGCCCTCACAACAGCCCTTTGAAGTAGGTATTATTATTCCCATGGCAGTGACCATTCTCGACCCATAGGTGGGGACCTGCTGTGACGATGTATAAATTCATAACGATGTGTCCTTCCTCCACACACCCTCGTGAGAACTCGGCTTTGTGAGGATCTTCTGCCCCACTAATCTTCATTTAATTCCCCTCCCTGCAGCATGTTGTCACCTAGCACGCCCCTGCTGACAGGCCCTCTGTAAGTCTTCATCTGAATGACGGCCCTGGAAAATCAAGCTGTGGTCTCGAAAGGGAAGGAGGATCTGCAGATTATCTCCTCAGCATGTGCAGTCACTCTGCTGGCAGCTCTTGGGCCGCTTTTATATTGCCTCAACAAAGAGAAAGGCTGCCAAGAGTGTGTCATGTTCCATTCAGAATTCCCCACGCTGGCAGTGGCTGGGACAGTAGAGACACAGGGAGAATGAACAATTCCCAGCTCAGCCCCATCCATCTCTTCTTACTCGTGTCTGTGTGAGGAAGCCTTTGAGAGTCTTCTTATGATTCCTTATAGGCCCTTGGAAAAGTAAAATAAGGAGGACAGGAGGAGAACAGGAGAATGCAGAGGGAAGCTGGCTGGAGATCAGATCATTTTGCCATAACCAGCAGGCAATTTCTTTCACAAATCATTGAACCCTGGGTAGCCATTATCATCCCAACTGCTCACTATTAACTAGCCCAGACTCTTAAGGTCATGAGAGTCAGAGAAATAGAATTCCTTTCCTTTTTCTCACTCTCTAAATACTGGTCATACTATGTTTAGATACCATGTTTTAGTTTACAAAGTATATTGATACATACTATTATGTTTCTCATGCCATTGTCTTTGAAATGATTATAATCTGACCTTATTAGTGAGAAAACAAAAATTGCCAAAATATTTTCAATTTAAGAAAATAACAAAGGCTCAGAGGTATTGAGTGTCTCAAAGACACTCAGCTGAATGAGGTGGGAGCCAGGCTTGTAAACAGGACTTCTGGCATAGAGTCCTGTGCCTTTTCTATTATATTGTGCCTTTCTGATGTTTAGCCAGTTTCCTGTAGGATGAGGTAAGTCCCATTCTGCAGGAGAGTGGGGAGCTTCCAAGGAGACCTGTCTTTGGTGGTGATGGGCCATATATGAAAACCAAGCTTCCTCCAATTGCCTGCTAGGTCTCTCGCCACTTGCTTCCTCTTACTATCATCTTAGCAAACAACAAGTGATAATATTGGCTTAAGAAAATCATTGCAATAAAATCCAAAAGCTGTGAGGGAAAAAAAAATGTCACTGCAAAGGCATCATTGTGGGAGAAAGTGCTCCAAGGGAGATTCCGGCACTCCTACTGCCCTCCCTAACTCTGGCCCTGTTCGTAACTATTGACTGATGGCTGGACAGATATTTTGACCCTAATTGAAAAAAATACAGAAACTGAGGAGAGAGGAAGTAAATAAGAAGTAGGGAGAAATGTGAAAAAAAAAATTCTTCTGAGGATACCTGGAAATTCGAAATGTGAAATTTTTCTCTTTAGATAAAAGTGGTTTAGGACTACATGTTAAATTAGGTCTTTAGAACTGAAATATTTCTGTCACTAATAATTTTTCAGCATTAAAAGGGTTCTAGGTGATGCTAAGGTATTATTTCCTCTCAGGAAGCTTAGATTTTCTAACCTTGAGACAGATTCGGAAAAGCTCTGATCCTTCCAGCAAGGATCCTGGTGACATCTCTAACCCAGGAAAGTGACCAGACCCAGTCCCCAAGAATATTACTTTCTTATTGGATTGGAGTCCAAAAATACTGTTTTTAAACCAAGGGTTATATGTTCATCATAGAAAAAAAAATTAAAATACATATAAGTAAAAAGCAAAAAAAAAAAACTCTTACAATTCTACCACCCAAATATTACTACGCTTAACCTTTAATACATTTTATGCTATATGTGTTTAAATGTAAACATGTATGTCTATACACAGTGCTACTAAAGCATGCATTAAAATGTACTGTTTTGTGATCATATATCCTCTTAATATATTGTAAATTTCTTCCTATATCAATAAACTTCACTTTTTTTTTTTTTTTTTTAAAAAAAGACAAGGTCTCACTCTGTCACTAAGGCTGGAGAGCAGTGGTGCGATCATGGCCTACTGCAGCCTTGAACTTCTGAGCCCAAGTGATCCTCCTACCTCAGCCTCCAAAGTAGCTGGGACTACAGGTTCACACCACCATGCCCAGCTAATTTTTTAATTTTTGGTAGAGACAGGGTCTTGCTATGTTACCCAAGCTTGTCTTGAACTCCTAAGCTCAAGCGATCCTCTTGTCTCAGCCTTCCAAAGTGCCGGGTTATAGGTGTGAGCCACCCCACCCAGCCCCTCACCATTTTTAATGTCACCATGTTTATTCCATTGTATAAATGTACCATGATTTGTTTAGTTATTTTTAAATTATGAAATATTTTACTTATAAAAAATATACAGAAGAATTACCATGGCTTATTTAATTTCCAGCACCTCAAGAATCTCCTTTCCTAGAAGGGAATAATTTCAATACCTAATATTGCAGTTTCACTCTGTAGTTTTACAGTGCTCTTGCACATACATTATTTCGTTTGATCCTCACTATCACCTCCTAAGGTTGGTGTTATGTTCATTATTTTTCTCATTTTATAGATGAACTACATAAAACTCAAAAAGACTAAATGATTTACCCTAAGTCCAGTTAAGTCAAAGAGATGGCTGGGTCCTAGGACTAGATGTGACTCTTGTGGCAGGGCAGATCTCCACAGCATGCAAGGGAGGAGTCAGGACCAGCAGAGTAGCCCCCACAGACTCACCCTGCACTGCACCCCCAGCTCCTGCCCTGCCCTGACTTCAGCCTTGATCATGCGTACTTCTGCCTTTTGACCCAGTGTGCTCTCTGGGGGCAGAGACTTCTGTCTTCATTCTTCTCTCTACCCCTGCTGCCCACCACAAATTCTGATACAATAAATGCCCAGCTAATGTCTGCTGGATAAGTGAATGAATGAATAAAGAGTGCCAGAGAGATACACAAATTGTGGAGGCTAGGTGTTCCCAGCTTTCTTGCTTAAAGCCTCTGTTTTTAGTTCAGACGTTTTAACAGAACACATCTTTGCATTTTGACTTTTGGGGCTTCTGTAGGTTTTAGTCACCACTGGAAAGCTCACACACCGATGCATGGAAAAGCATGTTCAAAACCAAAGGCAAGGAGAAACCTGTTTGCATACTAGCTTCTTTCCACCTTTTCTAGCGGTGGCCCTACTCTAGCCCCAACTGGAATGGACCAAGCTCTCCTTAAAGCCAGCTCCCAAGTTACCATTATGTTATCCCTCATTTGAAACTACTTTATATTTATGATATGTATGATATAACTCATTTTTAACTGCTTGTTAATACCTTAGCTTAGCAGCTATAATATGGTTCATGAGATTTGTTTGGAGCACTGTTATTATTGATTATAAAAGCAGTATAGCAGAATTATAAGAGCTTTTAGAACAAAAATTACTGAAATTCCACTACCTAACAAGGCAACTATTTTTCTTTTTGTATAACCCCATCAAGAGTTTGTCCATGCGTATGGACGTACTTATTTTCCTAGTTATTATCATGGGAGCATGCAGCATTTTTTCCTGATTTTTCCACTTAATATGATTACAAGAACATTGTTTCCCTATTTTTCAGTATAGACTTCATAATTATCTTTTTAACGACTGCATAATTCTCTATTGAGTTGATATACCAAAATGTACTTATACAATCCCCCAGTGTTTCACATTTAAGATGTTTCTGATTTTCCAGTAGTCTATAGTGCCACACTGAAGGTTGTTACGTGTATTGTTATGCAATCTTTTGTGTTTGTCAGATTATTTTCTTAGGATACTTTCCTTGAGTAAGATTGCTGGGTCAGAGTAGGAGCGCATTTGTGGTTCTTGCCAGGCTGCTTGTGCAAAAAGGTTGTTCCAGTTTATGTCCCCAGCAGTTGGTATGTTTACCAATTTTAGGACAATCTCATCAGTGTAGGAATTGTGGTTAATTTTTTTGTTTGCTCATTTAGCTGAAGTAAAATGGTACTTCAGGGTTGCTTTATTTTTGCATTTCATTGATTATTAAAGGAAATTAGCATTTTCCCCTGTGGTTACTCTTTGTATTTCTTTGGATGTGAGTTGTCTGCTAACATTTACAGGTCTTTGCCTATTTTAGTAAATTGGGATCTTCATTTTTTAAAAATCAAACCAAGTAAACTCTTCACACACGGTGGCTATTGAACTTTTTCATTTATGTTTAATATATTTTCCCATATTGTTTTGCCTTTTCATTTTAGATATGTGTTTGTAGTACAAACATTCTTATTTTTGTAATAAAATCTGTAAATGTTTTTTTCTATTGCTTTGAAACTTAAGCTATCCTCCCTCTGGAGAGCTAATAAATATTTAATTCTACCTTCTGTTATTTTAAATTCTTTAATTCATCTGGATTGCGTTTTACTATAAATTGAGATGCAAATTAAATTTCTTTCTACATTGCAAATCAGTTATTTCAGTCTTAGTCTGTTCTTTTATTCTCTTTCTCAGGAATCATACACCAGATGAAAGGTGATTATGACACTGCACTGAAACTCCACAAGACCCACCTGTGCATCGCCCAGGAGCTGAGTGATTATGCTGCCCAGGGCCGTGCCTATGGGAATATGGGCAATGCCTACAATGCCCTGGGCATGTACGACCAGGCGGTCAAATACCATCGGCAGGAGCTGCAGATCTCCATGGAAGTGAATGACCGCGCCTCACAGGCTTCCACACATGGGAACCTTGCCGTGGCCTACCAGGCCCTGGGTGCCCATGACCGGGCCCTGCAACACTATCAGAACCACTTGAACATTGCCCGGGAGCTACGAGACATCCAGAGCGAGGCCCGGGCCCTCAGCAATCTGGGCAATTTCCACTGCTCTCGGGGAGAGTATGTCCAGGCTGCCCCCTATTATGAACAGTACCTCCGGCTTGCTCCCGACCTTCAAGACATGGAAGGAGAAGGGAAGGTCTGCCACAATCTTGGCTATGCCCATTACTGCCTTGGAAATTATCAGGAGGCAGTGAAGTACTACGAACAGGATCTGGCACTGGCCAAAGACCTTCATGACAAGTTGAGCCAAGCAAAAGCCTACTGCAACTTGGGCCTAGCGTTCAAGGCTCTGCTGAATTTCAGTAAAGCTGAAGAGTGTCAGAAGTACCTACTGTCCCTAGCCCAGTCTCTGAATAATTCCCAGGCTAAATTTCGAGCCCTAGGGAACCTGGGCGATATATTCATCTGTAAAAAAGATATAAATGGTGCAATAAAATTCTACGAGCAACAGCTGGGCTTAGCTCACCAGGTAAAGGACAGAAGATTAGAAGCCAGTGCATATGCAGCCCTTGGCACTGCATACCGAATGATCCAGAAGTATGACAAGGCCCTGGGTTATCACACACAGGAACTGGAGGTATATCAGGAGCTGAGCGACTTGCCAGGGGAGTGCAGAGCTCATGGGCACCTGGCTGCTGTCTACATGGCCCTTGGGAAATACACAATGGCATTCAAGTGTTATGAAGAGCAACTGGATCTAGGGCAAAAGCTGAAGGATCCAAGTCTGGAAGCCCAGGTCTATGGCAACATGGGCATCACAAAGATGAACATGAATGTGATGGAAGAAGCCATTGGTTACTTTGAGCAGCAATTGGCCATGCTGCAGCAGCTAAGTGGAAATGAGTCTGTGCTTGACAGGGGCCGGGCCTATGGCAACCTGGGAGATTGCTACGAAGCCCTGGGTGACTATGAGGAAGCTATCAAATACTATGAACAATATTTATCTGTGGCGCAGAGTCTGAATCGCATGCAAGACCAAGCCAAGGCTTACCGGGGCCTGGGAAATGGACACAGGTAAAAATGACCAAGGACAATTGTGGTTTATAGTTCTGCAAAAAAGAGCATTTGTGACAGTAATGGCAACTTCATGTCTGCATGGCAGTTTGTTAACTACAAACATTTTCTTACATATCTCATCTGATTCCTCCAATAACTATTTGAATTAAGTAGTTGATGTTGTTACCCTTATGCTATGGGTGAAGAAACTAAAGCCCAGAGAAATTGAGTTAATACCTAAGATTTGCAGCTTAAAAGGGACAGCTGAGAGTTGAACCCAGGGCTCTGTGACTCCAAATGCAGTGCCTTTTGACTACATTAGAATGAGAAGGATAATAGGGATTGGGAAGGTGAATGAATCACTTTCCCTGATCTTTTCTGAATACCTCCCACATTATATGAATGTGTTTATTAATACAACATCTGCATCTAACAATTATTTAGACCCCATTGTGTTGCTTCTCAGAAAAGCCACCTGATAATAGGAGAATGCATAAATATACTATGTTGCATGCATCATCTGTGCAAGGTCCCTTGCACAGATATCTTAATAGTTATAGCAGTTTTGTATTACTCTACATCTATTATCATCTGCTGTGGGATGTGGGATTTATTATCACCAGAATCGGAGGCTCAGGGGAACTAATTCACGTGCCCCACACAAATGGTTTGGTCATGCTCTTTCCACTCTTATCGTGTCTTCTCTTAGCAGCACAAAAAGACACACTGTTGGTCAAGGTGATACTTTCTCCTAAATGTGGGGAACCCAAGAAGGTGCCTGTGTCTGCAGAATATATGGCCCCACCAGAGAGGCAGGGGATTAGGGCTCCTGGAGTGGAGGAAGGGCAAGGGTCAAACTAAATCTTCACCCACAGAGTGCTCTGAGAAGCTCAGGGTGAAAGATTTATAGCCACTGTAAAGTGATTTCAAAAACATAGTCTAAGCAGTAGTGGAAATTGGGAGGCCTGAAGAACCAAACAGTTCACTTGCTATCATTGTGCCTATTAGTATATTTTATGTTTCCTCTGGGGTGTATATCCCATTGAATCTCAAGCTCTTGGGAAGGTCACTAAGGGATGACTTTTGAATTGCTTTCCAGATTATGAAATTCCTCTGCATCTCACTCTAAGGGCACATGATAGATTTTAGCTAGAAGAGGAGTTAAGAGCTTCTATAGTAAGTGACAGTGACAAATGCTTTTCATTTTCTCAGGGGCTTTAACATGTCTGCACCTGCACGAAATAATATCATTGCTTTTCTGTCTACATCCCCACAGGGCAATGGGGAGCTTGCAGCAAGCCCTCGTATGCTTTGAAAAGAGGCTCGTGGTTGCCCATGAGCTCGGGGAGGCCTTCAATAAAGCCCAGGCCTATGGAGAACTGGGAAGTCTGCACAGCCAATTAGGGAATTACGAACAAGCCATTTCCTGCCTTGAACGCCAGCTGAACATTGCTAGAGATATGAAAGACCGAGCCCTGGAGAGTGACGCAGCCTGTGGCCTGGGGGGCGTTTACCAGCAGATGGGGGAGTATGACACAGCCCTGCAGTACCACCAGCTTGATCTACAGATAGCAGAGGAAACCAACAACCCCACATGCCAGGGCCGAGCCTATGGGAACCTAGGCCTGACTTATGAATCCCTGGGCACCTTCGAGAGGGCTGTGGTCTATCAAGAACAGCACTTGAGCATTGCTGCACAGATGAATGACTTGGCGGCCAAGACGGTGTCATATAGTAGCCTTGGAAGGACCCATCATGCCTTGCAGAACTATTCCCAAGCAGTCATGTACTTACAGGAAGGTAGGTGAAAAGGCCCATTGTGTTCTCTTGGCCTACTTGAAGTCAAGTTCAGAGTCAGAACTCAAGACTCAGAGGGAAGTATGCACAGTTTGAGTGGCCACTTCTGTGTAGAGTAAGGGTCTCAGAGGCCACATTGTCAGTTCAACTCCAGAATCACAGAATCCCCACCAGGTGTCCCTTGATAGTACTAAGGTGTTTCATTGTCCATAGCACCTTGCCCTGCTCTCTCAGACCCAGATTGTCTTATTCTCTCAGTGACAGCATCTACTGCTTGCCAGCTGCCCAAGGAGCTGAGACCCTCTTTGCTTTTCAGAACCCTCTGTGGAATGAGCAACATGTTCTCACACAGATGAATCAAGTAAGATGTAATCCTAAAAAATTGTAAGGGTTTCAGTCAGAAGAAAATGTCCATCTGCTCCAAGCTCTGTTGTCCCTCTAGAGAATATCTAAACTAACCATATTAAAACTTTATAGAAGTCAGTTCTGACATGGCAGCTGAGGTCTAATCCAGAAGTGTCAGTCTGAGGGGCACTCAGGCAGTAAACCAGGCTTCTTTCCCAGCATTTGTCACCTACGGTGCTTGGGCTGGTGCCACAGTAGGGTCTTGTTCCAGGCAGGCCTAGATACTGAAGGCTGCACAGTTTCACCTTGGATCCTTCCTTCCTCCGAAAGCAGAAGTCCCACAGCAATGCGTTTGCCCTCCACCTCTTTACATTGAGATGGGGCTTTCTGCTCTTAAAAGTCCTTCCCCTTACACAGGCATATTGGATCCTCTCATCCTAGAAGGGAAAAAGAGCAGATAGCTCACTGGTTAAAGGAATGGTTACTGATTTCAAGCAAAAACTCTCATTTCCACGGGGCTTTGCACATAAAGTTTGTTTAATCTGATTCAGTTCTCACGATAGTCTTGTGAGGTATATCTTTTTATTCCCATTTTTGCCGTTGAATCACCAGAGGCTCAGAGAAGTACAGTGATTCAGTCCTCATCATGTGGTCAGTTAGTCAAGGAGTAGGGCCCAGCCCAAGTTTTCCAACCCAGAAACCACACAAGATCCTCTCTGAAGTTGTTTCTAACTTTACAATTGCAGAGTAGGGTTGGGCATCCTATCCCCTTATACTCCCGAGCCCCCACTGGGAAGCCAGGAGAGAGATAAGCAAGAAGCAAAGAGGAGAATGGGTGAAGAGCTGACGATTCGCTGGTCTCCTTGCAACAGACCAGGGACTGCGCTGGCCTGCAGTCTGAGAGGTTACAGAGAGTCTGGAAGCCACTTCCCAGACCTTATCTAGCTCCCCTTCTATCCACATGGGGCTCTGCCTGAATGCATTAAATGAAAATGTTGGCTTCTAATTTCCTGAAACATGACTGTGGTAAAATTCCAACAGACGAGGAGCAATTTTCATTTGAATTTGTAAAAACTATTAAATTCAGTCATATGACAACTTTTCAGCTGTGTTCTTTTGTACTTCCTGAAATACTATTTTCATGAAACAGCTGGTTTGCCTGAGACATTGCAACGCAATTCTATATTTGTGGAAAACTCTCAAGTTCATTTTTATTGTTTCTTGTAATTTTTTAAGTCTTGCAGACATCTAAAAACTCTAATTTGTAGCATCTCTACGGTGTCTGTCTTGTGGATGTGTCCACTAGAGAGCCTGCAGCCGATGACTTTCCTCGTGGGCCAAACCAGAGTGCCTCTTCTTATGAGTGCAGGACACCTGGACAGTGCTTTCCAAACGCTCTGAGTTAGGTCTGCAGCCTCTGGCAAGGAGGGACTAGTTTGTCTGGAAGCCACCCCACGGTTCCCTCTCCCTTGGCTTTGGAGGCTGTGGAGCCTTATAGATCAATATCACCCTGCTTCAGTGCAATAGATTCTCACAGGTAGGGCCTGGTCTGAGTCTTTTGAACAAGCTTTCCAGGTGCTGTGGAGGGAGACACCTCTAGATAAAACCACTGGTCTCACCCAGCCCTTCCTCTTCTTGCAAATGAAGAAAGGGAGCATGGATCAATTTGGTGACTTACCTGGGACCAGTCCCTGACAAACTATAGGTTCTAGGAGAGCTGAATGGGTGTCAGGTTCCTAAGAGGCAGAAGCAGAGAGAAGCTGCGGCAGGACAGATACCATGTCTATCCAGTGGGCTTTTAACTCTTCATTGTTGAACCTCAGCTAGAGTCCTACATGCTGAGGATATAGCAGGAACAAAGCACAGTCCCTGTTCTCATAGAACATGGCTTCTAAGCAGGAATTGTCTCAATGAATTTTACTTCTGACTCATAGATCTTGACCTAGAAGGGACATTTGTATTGAAGAATTAATGTGGTTAGCTTATTGAAGATTTAAACAATCAGTATCCTTCTGGTTTTCTCCCAAGAACCATCTTCTTTCCTATGTTTTTCTATTCTGTGAGGTGTTTAAATATGTGAATTATTTACAAATATTTTTGTTATCCAATAATATGATTTAAACTTAAAGTGTTGTTTCTAAGTTTTCTGAGTTATGAGCATTTTGAAATGTATATTTATGACCTTGAACCTGAGTGTCACTTTTCTTACCCTTTCAACAGACTCAATTCCTTTTCAAAAGTCTGAAATTGCACAGGCCCAGCATGATCAGAGGCAGGCTTCCATCTACCCTGAATTAGATTAGAAGAAGGAAGTCCTTTGTATGTGCAGTTGTACGGTGGGAGCCTTCATGCTGTCTCTGCACAGGTTAGCTTCTATGAACAGTGAGCAGGGTAATGAGGGCAAAGTGATGCTGAGAACTGTCTAGTGACCAATACAATAAATGGTTGCCTTCAGATTTGACTCTCACAAAGCTCTGGAGGTTGCTGGTGTCCTGAAACCCCGAAGCTTGCTGTGGGTAAGTGACCCAAACTGCAGGTGCCTACCTGAAGGCTATTAAAATGAGGATGGTCTCATTTAAGGTTTTTGCCTTACAATAGCACTGGTTTTGCAACCCTGCTGAGGCACATCAAAGTCTTAAACTGAAAGGGAAAACAGATTAGACATGAAATGTGTCAGTAACATCAGTAACAAAAGGCAGGGTCAGGCTGTGTTCATATTCTGCTTTCAGGAGAACATCATATGTGTCTTCTATTAATGCTCATTGGATGCTGTGCACGTGAGAAAGGAAAAATACTCTTTTGCCTTCTATATTTAACTATCAGGAAGAGTTTTGCCAACCAAAGAATCAGGTTAGATAAGTTTATCAGCCAGGAGTTTTCCTTTGCAAAGCTGTGGATTTCAAATTTAGGAGGGTGACCAGATTAAGTTTCACTTATTTTAGTGTTTCTGCCTGCCCAGCAAACCTGTCTCCTGCTGATAGCCATCACCTGAGCTCTTGCCAAGGCATCCTGGAAATCCTGGAAATGTTGCTACCAACACAGAATTTGAAGAGAAGGCTTATTCTACCTTGGCTGATTCAGCTCTTATCCTCATTTTATCTAGCTGTGTTGTTAGTATTCTTTTTTTTTTTTAAGAGATGAGTCTCACTAAGTTGCCCAGGCTAGATTCTTACTCCTGGGCTTAAGCAGTCCTCCTGCCTCAGTCTCCTGAGTAGCTCTTGTTAACATTCTTTTATAGACACCTGAAGCAAAATTGGGTGGGAGCAGTGGCTATCCCAGCACTTTAGGAGGCCAGGGTGGGTGATTCACTTGAGGTAGGTGGATCAGGAACTGGATACCAGCCTGGGCAACATGGTGAAACCCCATCCCTACCAAAAAATACAAAAGCCAGCCGGGTTGTGGTGGCCTGTGCCTGTAGTCCCAGGTACTCTGGAGGCTGACTGAGGTGGATCACCTGAGCCTGGGGAGGTCAAGGCTGCAGTGAGCCGCCATTGCACTCCAGTCTGGGGAACAGAGTGAGACCCTGTCTCAAAACAAAAACACAAAAGTAAAATGACCCTCCAGGACTCCTTAGGATAGTGGAATTATCCGTCTTCTATGTTTCCTTAAATTTCTCTATCTGGTTTCAGGTTTAAGGTTAGCTGAGCAACTGGGCCGAAGAGAAGATGAGGCAAAAATTCGCCATGGCCTTGGCCTCTCCCTTTGGGCTAGTGGAAACTTGGAGGAGGCCCAACACCAGGTAAGCAGAACCCCTGACTGAAGTGGATTTTTTGTTTCCAGAAGCATGGGAGACCTTAGGATTACTATCCTAGTAGTGATGGCATTTACAAGAGGCACTGACTTCTACCCTTGGGCTAAGGTGTATGATTTCCAGCCTGTACTAGCCCAGAAGTATTTGAACAATCAGTAAAGATTTTTGCTCACTCATGTGATAGATTTCTCAATAATTTCTTAAGAATTCTTGTATTAAGTGCTATTGCTCCCCATTAAACATTAATATGAAATTCATTTCATGACAGAAGGAAAACAAGAATTCATAATTAAATTTCATGTTTCTAGATATATTAATAGATATAACTTCTCTCTTTCCCTCTTTTACAATAAGGCCATATTTCTGCATATATGCAAGTAGTTGAAGGAAAGTCCCTTGTCATGCTGGCCCTGGAGAGTAGAAAGATCCCTTGAGTTATGGGCCTCCTCTGTTAGGTTGGAGGAGTAGTGAGATGGCTGCATCTAAGATCACACGCTCATCCAGATAGCGAGCATGTGAGTGGTGACTGCAGAAGACATTGTGCTAGGCAGAGAGGAATAAGGATAAGGACATCGAGACTCCTATCCAGAGGTGCTCACTAGAGTTGAAGAGATGCGACTGAATTTGCACCATAGCATTCTAGAATGTTAGGGTGTTTTACTGTACTTTGAAAAAGATTAAAGGCAATGTAAAGGATTAATTCTCTAATTTCCTGGTTATAAAAAGTAAAACCTGTGTTGATCTTGTGATTTGCAATTTTCAAAGTACTTATTATAGCTCAGTGAATTTGATCCTTAAAATAACCCTGTGAGGTAGAAACTATCCTCTTTATAGAGAGGAAGAAATTGAGTCTTTGAGTCTTGCCAAAAGTCACACAGCCAATTAGTGGCAGAGTTAGGAACATATTCTCTTACCGCTCTCTGGGTCTATGTCTCTTAGTCTTAGAATTCTGTACTTGATCTTAGCCAAAAGGCTGAGAAGCAAGTAGTCTTAGAATTCTGCTTTTTAAGTTTGGATAAATTTAAAATTTGATACTGAGTTTCCAGCATATAAGTATCAGAGTCATCTTAGACAGTGTGGCATGAGGGGAAAAAAAAAAAAAGAAAATATCAGAGTCAGAAGAGTCTGTAGCCTCACTGATGGAGAAGCCTGTTAGAGCATCAGGACAGTGACTCCGTTCGGAATAGCAATTATCTGGTCCTCAGAGTGTCTATGTGAGTGGGCATGGCTCCTTGAAGAGCTTGCCCAGTGATGATCTGACCCTGGGGCACTGAACCATCTGCAAAGAGCTATCATCCTTCAGAGAGTGTGGTGCTCTCTTCCCCTCAGGCTTGTTCATTTCCAGCATGCCTCCACCATACCTGTTCTCACTCCCATCCTTCCTCACCATGAGGCGTGAGGGTGGTGAATTGTGGTTGCCTGATGACAAGAGGAGAGGCTTTTTGTTTTAATAGAAATCAGCACTTGGTGGATTAATATCTGTTTTAATATCTTTAAGACCATAAGTCTATAATTCCTGTCTTTTAGATCCCCTTATTTGTCAAAAATTGATTACATAAACTATAATTTACTAGGTATGATCTGATGCCTTTTCAGGTCCACAAGGACCTACCTGGTGTCAGGTTCTAACTGAGGTCCAAGGGGAGTCAGTGGGCGAGTGGCAGGTAGCTGGAAAAACACTCGAGGAAGTGTAGACAGTTTCACCATGGCTTTACTTTCTCTGGGCATGAGCAAGCCCGGGCGCGAGCCATGTATACGGCGTTAGCAGGGTAATTATACCTTTTAAAGACAATAGTGGCTCTGATCACATAGGTGGTCACCTAATGCGCCTCACGTGGTGCGGTTACATAACTAGCAGAGTTGTGCGCCTGTGCTCCAAACTCACTGAGTCATGCTGGACTGGATGTCTGCTTTGGCCTGTTCTTGACCACAGCACATCCATTTTCCTTACACCTGGACATAAGACTCTTCCTTTCAGATCTTTAAAAAATATTTAGGGTGTGCACAAAGATATGAGCAAAAGTTGTCTCTAGTCTGTAAACAGCTGGACCTTGGTTTCTGGGGACTGGATGATGTTCTTTCTCCCTCCTTGTAGCTTTATAGGGCATCAGCCTTGTTTGAAACGATCCGACACGAGGCACAGCTGAGCACGGACTACAAACTCTCCCTCTTTGACCTGCAGACATCATCCTACCAGGCCTTGCAGCGGGTGCTCGTCACCTTAGGTGAGAACAGCAGGGGTTACTCCTTGCTTATGTGTGCACTAGCGTGCACGGGTGCACATCCGTGTGTCCAAGTTGTTTAGTGACAGCTGTGAAGAAGCATGATTTGTTTTAACAACAGATTGTGAAGCCATAACTGTAACCAGTCATTGAACATTCATTCATTTATTCAACAAAGATTAGCAGAGCTGCTACCATGTGCCGAGTGCCTGCCCTGGGGATTACAGTCAAGAAGGCCTGGTTCCTGACCCCAAGAAGCTCTTAGCCTGTGGAGAGACATAAGTCAGTGAGTCCAGTACAGTGCTGATTGGCACTAGGATAAACTCAGATGCTGTGGAAATGAAGTCTCTTTAAAAAAAAAAAAAAAAAAAAGACAAAAAAAGTTTAAATAGAGATGAGGTCTCACTATGTTGCCCAGCCTGGTCTCAAACTCCTAGGCTCAGGCAATCCTCCTGCCTTGGCCTCCCAAAGTGCTGAGATCACAGGTGTGAACCATCACACCCAGCCTAAAACAAAGTCTCTTGTCTGGTGCGTCCAGGAGCCAGAGAAAGTGTCCTTGAGACAGGGATGCTTGAACCAGGTGTGCCCTCCCCAGGTTCCCTCTTAACACTAGCGTGTGGTTCAAGCATCTGACTAAGAGAAAGTACTGGAGAAGACACCTGGCCTCTTCTCTATGTCCTCATCCACACACCTTTCAAGGTTGCTGTCTAATAAATGTTTTTGCCACCTGGGTCTGCCTCTTAGACTTGGCATAGTCAGTGATGATTCTCCCAAGCCTATGTGCCCTATCACACTGGGGCAGCATGCATCTTCTTTCACCTAGGCCTTAACGAGTCAGCGAGTCCCTTCCAGCTCCCCTGTCATCTGCCTCTTCCCAGGAGATACTTATTGGAACTAACAAAGGCTTTGAATTTGGATGTTGAGGCCTTTTCGATAACCTGTCTTTTGCTGTATATATAGGAAGGACTCAAATTTCCTCTTGAAAAATGTATCTATTAAATGCATTCATTGCCTGCGATTACAGTTTATTATCTATTATAATCACAGTGTTAAGTCTGTCTAGCACTTAGGGGCCGATTTTCCAATGTGCACAGAAATTGTCCCTGCTGTTCCAGTTAATAACTTAATAGAGTAAAAGGAGACATTTACATACACACATGTAAATCTCCACTTGCTTCTGATACCCAAACTGCAGGAAGCAAGGCATCCTTGAAGTGCTGTCACAGCTGCAGCATCTGGTCTGCTTCTGTCTGCTTTCTTTGGACTCTGGTTATAGTAACCCTTCCATGTTTACATTTATTACAAAAGTAAATCCTCTGCATTGTGTTCCTTCAGCACTTATAAACAATTCCTTTACATTTTTTGTGCTTTCATATTGGTGCATTAGCTTTTAAACTAGATTATAGACCAGTTTCTTAAGGAAAGTGGGATTCAAAATTCGATTAAAAGACAGGAAAAACTTGAGATAGAGAGGCAATTTTAAAGATATAGAGACCTGAGAGGTTTAAACTCTTTGCCCCTGGGGATAAGGGAAAAAGTGTTTTGGAGCCCAGAATGGAATGAGATATCAGCTCCAACAACACTACTACTACCTGTTATACATGTGGTGATGTAAGTAGGCCTACCAGGCATCTTTTCATGTAGTGCTTCATTTAATCTTCAAACTAGCCCTTTGTGATAGGCAGGACAACTGTTAGCATCCCTCTTCTTGAGACAAGGCCAGTGAAAGGGAAGAGGGCACACCCAGGAGAGGGACTGGCATGCGTAAATGGACGGAAGTATAATCTGGGGAGAAATGGTTAAGGCTGGACAATGTTATGCATAGAGGGCCCGCATGGAGGGAGGAGAGAGAGTCAGAAGATGCACAGACACTTTGTGAGGCTGAGGCGGGTAGATCACTTGAGGCCAGGAGTTTGAGACCAGCCTGGCCAACGTGGTGAAACCCCATCTCTACTAAAAATACAAAAATTAGCTAGGCATGGTGGCACATGCCTGTAATCCCAGCTACTTGGGAGGCTGAGGCAGGAGAATCGCTTGAACCCAGGGGGTCAGAGGTTGCAGTAAACTAAGATTGCATCACTATACTCCAGCCTGGGAGATAGAGTGATACCCTGTCTTAAAAAAAAGAAAAAAAAGGACACATAGAGAGCCAAGTGACACCAATAAACCTGGTGTCAGAAGCCAGGCAGGAGGTTAAAAAAAAAAAAAAAAAACAACCAGGTTAGGGAGCAACTCAGGAGGTGGAGCAGAGATGGCACAGGGCTAAGGACAAGTTCACTGAATTAGATCAGCTCTCTTGTGGCGCTGGCTGCAAGACAGGCGAAGGCCTGATGGCTTAGGGTAGTGTGGAATCAGTCATGCAGGACACTGCACCCACCATCTGAGGCAGGGAATTGAATTCGAAGCAGTGTGACTGAGATTCTGTCACATATTGGAGAGCAGAGGCAGTGAGGTTTCTGCCCAGGATTTGATGGCCGTCCCTGATAGGCCTCTCTAAGTAAGCACACTCACTATGGACCCCTCAGCATATCTCTTTGTCTCCTAGGCCATCATGATGAAGCCCTGGCCGTGGCAGAAAGGGGACGGACAAGGGCATTTGCTGATCTTCTGGTGGAACGACAAACAGGACAACAGGACTCTGACCCCTACTCACCAGTCACTATTGATCAGATCTTAGAGATGGTTAATGGCCAGAGGGGACTAGTGCTTTACTATTCCCTGGCTGCAGGCTATCTGTATAGCTGGCTGCTTGCTCCTGGGGCAGGTAAGATCTCTTTCTGTGGGAACAGGGCAATTAGAAGACTAGACCTGTAAAAGTCTAATGAATAGAGGTGGAAGAGGTGCATTATCATAGATCATGCTAAGGAACTGATGTCAGATTTTAGCAAAACCTCAGCGGCAGTGGATATGCTGTGGTGGGGCATTCAATTAATAAGACAGCCCAGCTTTCTCATTCCCCCAAGAAATCGCTGCTCATCACTGTTGAATGTGGAAGCATTTATCAAGGAAGACTAAGAGCAGACGAGTTAATTTCACTAGCAGCCCTGTGTGTAGGCAGCTGTTGTTCATTAGCTAATAAAGTGATGACTGCAAGACCTAACGAATTCTTTCTAGATATGGTTTAATAATTGTGACCCTTTGTCATGGCAAAGTTAAAGAGACTAAAATGATAATGGCAACTCTATCACAGGTTATAAATAAGTCCTATGCTTGAAATTTCTGAGTTTAACAGAACCCATTTTTAACCGGTTCTGCTGTAAATCTATTTCAGAAGTAAAAATCTCCTTTGATTAAATCAGCATTAAATGTTCAGGCTGTAACACTTTCACTAAATACAGAAACACTAATTAGCTGTTACGGCCATATTTTTTGCATAATAAAATGCTGATGGCTTTACCAAGTTGGAGACACACCAGATCCAATTAGAGTTTATTGACTGGGGAAGTGGATCTTATAATTGGTAATCTTAAAGAATGGGCTTCTTGAATATCTGTAAGCCAATTTCAAAAACTTTAACTGCCAGCGAGAATTGACAAGATTTTCTTGATTATGTTTCTATCCCTTTGATTAAAAAAAAAAAAAATGATGGCTGGATGACAGCTCCCAGATGCTTTTAGGCTCTGAACATTTGTGCCTATACATTCTATACCTCGGCATTGTTTGTAATAATTTTTTCTCTTTAGTTCCATGTTCTTTATGGGCTTTCCACAAAGAATGTTCTTACAGCTGGCATTTTTAATGCTAAAGGTTTTAAATTGTGATTTTTACAGTGACTTGGTTAGTAAGCGTTGGCCACAGTGGAATCTTTGTGGATCCCAGCTCCCAGAGTGGCACTGATACTCGTGAGGACACAGTTGATGACTGGGAGGTATCAAACTCCTTCTCTCTGTGGTTGTTACATCTTGGGGACATGATTTGACAGGTGGTATATCTGAATTCCTGTAATAATGAGCCATGTATAATGAGGCTCCTATTGTTTCTTTTTCCGTTCCTTTTTGCTCTTAATGAGGCTCTGAAGCTTTCACTGGGGGCGCTAATCCAATCAGAGAGGACCGGCGTTTTCCAGAGCTGACACACCTCATTACCATTTGAGAATATATCCTATTTATTGCCAGAAAACCACTGTGGACTGCCTCAATTTCATGCAGACATCATTTTTTGCTCCTTTAATTCATTAATAACCACTGACCAGTTAGTCTTATTTAAAAATGGTTTAAAATGTTTTTATCTGGCCTTTATACTACATGTTTATTATAATTTGCTTTTGTGAAATGAAAGCACTGTTTGAACACAATTTCCACTTGGCCAATTATATTTTTCTTTGAGATTTCAGTTTGTATAAGGAATATGTCTTGGCGTACTCATGCACTATTCCTGAAAGGAGACTTTCCCTAGTTGGTGCTTCTAAGAAGCATCTGTTTTGAAACACATATGAAGTCATCATAATTCCAGGAGCTTCTGAGACTGTATCTAGAATTCCTTGATTTCAAGCACCACACCTAATGGTAAAAGCTGTGAAAAGGATACTGACCAAAATAGAGAAAGCCCTCTTGAGACCTTGGATTTCAGGATTTTTTCACAGGGTTTGCAGGATGGCATGCTTGTCAAAGAAGTCACATACCATTGGCAGTCCTGTCCCCTGCCTTCAACTTCTCCTTTCCCTGACCCTAATTGTGTATAATGTCAGCTGTGCCTGTTTTGCTTCAGGAATTCTGAAGTTTAATGAACACTACCTGGGTGAGAACACAGTGGAAAACTCAAGTGACTTCCAGGCCAGCAGCAGTGCAACCCTTCCAACAGCAACTGGCTCAGCCCTGGAGCAACACATTGCCAGTGTCCGGGAGGCCCTGGGGGTGGAGTCTCACTACTCAAGGTAGGTAGTAAAACATCCCAAGCCTATTTTCAGATAAATCTCAGGGTATTATTTTTTGTAAACATTCTATTTGAACTAACAGAAGAAATCTTTTGGAATTCATGTGGTTGTGCTCAGTCTGTTCACAGCTGCTGCAGCAGAAACAAATATGTGTCTCTGGAGTGTAAGCCCCTTAGTGGTCTGTCTTTATTCTTTTTTGGTGATTTTCCATCAGATGGGGAAGGGCCTCATCAGACATGCCCATTCCTCTAAGCAGGATTTGTAAACTGTTTAAACATAAACGTGGCTTTGAATTTAACATACCAGCCAATTAGAACTGAGATTATTTTTTGTTATAAACAAATTATAATGAGTTTGTTTGTACTATAGCTGAACACCTATTTGAGAGAGTAATTTAGTACCAGTGACAGGATATGTGCAAAGATCTGTGAGCTGAGGGGTGAGGTGAAAGGAGCTGAACTCTCAAATGTGAAGAATAGATAAGGGAACTGCTTTTTGCAAAGGTTGTAAAAGGTATAAGCTTATGGAAACATTTTATCGTAATGATTGACTATTTTACATATGAAAAAATAATTTCCACAAGCACCCTGCTTCTAGGGGAAATCAAAGGAAGAGGGTACCTTAGAGCTGGGTTGTAACCAGATTTCCCAGGCATCTCCGTTCTCCATCCAGTGATTACCAAGAATCCAGAAGATCTGTGTGTCAGAGAATCTGCTGTGTTAGCTTGTATCAGGTCCCAAGAATCTCTGCTCATCTCCTGAATGATTTCATTTGTAATCATGAAAATCCTTAGGTAATTCTGTGATTTATTTAGAGATGCTTCACCCAGATTTCCAAGTATGTGGTGGTTGCTGCCAGCAGCTGGACTGATCTTTGGGATGCTTATTAAGTTGGTGAAGAAAGAGTTAGTTGAAAAATAATTACTGAATAATATAATGTCAATATTGGAAGGGGCTGTAGTAGTCATCTAGTCCAACCCCTTTATTTAACAGAAGTTAACACTGAAATAGGACTTGCTGACAGCCAAGTTAATGTCAGAGCCAGGATCAAAACAGTCTAGATCTCACCCAGACTTCCAGGCCAGTGCTTGTTCTGTTTCTGATTTTCAAAATTAATATCATATTTTGAGAAAATAGCCAAATATAAGAATTTCATTTCTAGCTTCTGTTTTTATGAAGTAGGAACAGGCTTTAGCCACATGCACACGTGCTTCTCTTATTTATTCTATGACTGCTGTGCATCCTGAAGTATCCCCATCCTTAACAACCCAGGCAACAGTTTGGCAATTACAGGGGTTGACAGGGTGGTAACTCCCAAGAACTTGGAAGTAAGACTGCCCTCTGAGATTGAAATTATAAATGACCATAATGAACTAGGTTAGGCATTAGACCAGAGGTATACAAAGCTGCTTCAGCAGACAGAAATTCAGGCCAGTGTGATTAGACTATAACCTGACCAAAGGTATTACATGTCCCAAGTGAGAGTTAGAGGGGCATGATTGGCCAGCAATAGAAACCCAAAAGTAGGAGAGCCAGCAGGGCAGGCTTTGGCAGTGTTCATTTCTAACACTATCAAAAGTAGAGAAAATCTTGGTTTAGGAACACAAAGTCCCATCGAAAAGGCTGACCCCATGGTGGACATGCAGTTGCCATGTTCTCTTAGTCCCCCCACTGTCCCTCCTTCCACAAGTATTTTGAGTGCTCACTCTGTGTAAGGTACTATGCTAGAGATCAAGGATCCTGATGAAAAAGCAGACATAGCCCCTACTATCCCAAAACTGAGGGGCAAGCTCTGAAGTGTGGCCTTCTAAGTTTGAAAACCTGATTGATGTTGCTAACATGCCCAAAGAGGGTTTGCCTCTTGGGAGTGAACTTTCATTAACCAAGCTCAAAGAAAGTTGTACAAACTAGAATGCCAGGTATTATGTACATTCTCTATCTGCAAGTATATTTACTTGAGAAACCAAATGATAGTTAGAAAGGTTGACAAGAAGCATGGGACCTGAACAAGGGAAGGCAGGAGAACCATCTGAGAGATCTTCTCCACCAAGGGCTGCTGAAGACCTTTGTGTATACTGCCTGGGGTAACCTTTGGCAGTTTAATTCTCCTCATCCTCTGAGCTCAGTTCAAATATTCCCTCCTTAAGGAAGCCTCTACAACTCCCAACATAGGTTTCCCTACCCCTTATGCCCATTTGTACATTCTCAGTATACCCAACATTTTCATGTAAGCACTTACTACAATTTTAATTGAAAGGTTTTATATACTCTCTTGTTTACTCTTTTTCATTTCTGTGAGAACAGGGGCTATGTCTGCCTTATTCATCTGGATCCCTAATCTTTAGTATAGTACCTTATAGAGTGAGCACTCAAATACTTATGGGAGGAGGGACAGCAGGGATCTAAGAGAGCACGGTGACCACATGTCCACCATGGGGTCAGCCTTGCCGATGGGACTTTGTGTCCCTAAGCCAAGATTCTGCCTCCTTTTGATAGTGTTAGAAATGGGTACTGCCAGAGTCTGCCCTCCTAGCTTTCCCTTTTTTGTGTTTCTACTGCTGGCCACCAAGATTCTAAAGGTACTTGAGTGTATGACACCTGCCATTTGAAACCTCTGCATACATGAAGGTGGCCTCTCCCTTCTGGCAATGTGGGGGCCACATCCAAGTCATCTCAGTCTAAACCAAACATTCATGGGGCTCAGCCTGCATGAAAATGTAAATTTTACTTAATTCAAATTTCCAGATATCTAGATTAAAATTCACCAGGAGAAAGAAGAGGATTACCCTTGGTCTCACTCTTCCATGCTCCTCACTGGATGTCATGGTTGAACTTTAAATACCTGTGTCTAAGCAGTTCTTTTCTAAGATGCTGGAGGTTGAGTAATTCTGTTTCCAGGTGCCTTTTGAATTTAAAAATGTCTTTTGAGTTATAGTTCATCTCTTTATCAATGGTAGAGAGACAGGAAAGACTGCAGCTTGCTTGTGTTTCCCATGTTAACCATTTCCCCTCTGCTCTATACAGAGAGCTTACAAGTTCTTATGAGTCCTTAGGATCTCCAGCAGGTTATGTGGCTTGACATTCGGCATCACTTTGTTGGGCTGCCCTCAGTGGCCTAGATCTTCCCCTTAGGCTGCTAGAAATAAGGTTTTTCCTATTGCTTCGGAGTAGTCTTGTTAGAGATTTGTTCGTATTTTGTGAGCTTAAACTCATATTGTTGATTATAATATTAAAATTAAACTCTTTATTGGCGTGGTTTGAATTTACTGGAATGGAGTGTTTGTGAGAGCAATTCGTATCTCCTAGTTTCATGAAAACAGTAAGAAAATTTCATTGAAGTATTATTTTTCATCTATAAATTTAGTAAGTATTTTTTAAAACCATAATGCTCAGTGAGAGTAAGGATGCAGTGAATGACCTGGCTCATATCGTAGGGATATACCTTGATTTTGCATTTCTAAAAACAAATTGCCAATAGTATAAAAAATCTTTTTACATGTTTATGCCCTTTGATCTCAAAATTATTTATTTTAGAAATGGAGCAAAGATCTGTACATACTAGTATCTGTCCTAAGTTTATATATTATAGAAGACATTGAAAACAAACCAAATATACAACAATAATTAAATTACAAATTATTTTATATCTATTCAATATGTTATGTTGCAATTAAAATTATGTTTACAAAGAATTTTAATCAAATAGCCAAATGTTTAATCACATAGACAAAATATTAAGTGAAAAAATAGGATATAGAATTACTGTGTATAGTATAATTTAAATTTTGTCGTACAAAATATGGGTATGAAAAGAAAAATTCTTGGAAAGAGACTAGGCTATATTTTAGTGGTGATTATAAATGAATGGTGGAATTATGGATGCTTGTTATTTTATTTTGCAATTAGGCATGTAGTACTTTTAAATGAGAAATAAATAGCCATGAATAAACAATTCTGTCATATCAAAGGGAGAAAGAAAACCTTTTTGTAATTTGGCTTTACAGAGAATAAAACCCCAGTGTCAGAGCCTGTCACCATGATCTAGTGCTAGGAAGGAATTCTGGGTTTATTTTCCATTCTTGTCTCTTGGTGAATACTGTATTTCAACCACTAGGCCTTCTTCTCTGCTCTCTAAATGTACCCTGTAATTTCTGTCTCTCTACTGTAGCTCAGGGGTCTCTGAGCTCTGGATCTGTATATGTAGCTGTCAATAAACATCTATGTCTGGATATCTTCCAGGCATCTCTGGTCTAAAACACCTAAAGCCTAACTCTTTAATGTCCCCATTTCTACTTTAATCTTTATCCTGATTCCTGCACCATCATATAACTAGTTGCTTAAGACAAAAAAAATGAATCATCATCCATTATTTTCTCTTTCCCTCATTCTAATCAATTTATCTTGCAGATTTGTAGAAATATATTTCTGTAAAATACATTTTGAATGACCTACCAAGACTGAATTATGAAGAAATAAAATATCTAAACAGATCTATAACTAGTGAGAAGATTAAATCAGTAACCAATAACCTCCCAATAAAGAAAAGTTTGGGACTAGATGTATTCACTGGGGAATTCTACCAGACATTTAAGGAAGAATTAATACCAATCCTTTTCAAATTCTTTTTTAAAATTAAAGAGTAAAGAACGTTACTTATTTATTTTTTGCCAAAATCAGGCAAAGATACCACAAGTAAAACAACTGTAGATCAATATTTATCATACAAAAATTAATGCAAAAATCCTCAAAAAATACTAGCAAACTGAATTCAATAATACATTAAAAGGATTCTGTACCATGACTGTGTGGGATTTATTCTTGGAATGTAAGGATGGTTCACCTATGAATATCAATCAGCATAATACACCACATTAACAGAATGAAGGACAAAAAACACATGATCATTTGAGTTGATGCAGAAAAGCATTTGACAAAATTTAACACCCTTTCATGATAAAAACCATACTGCAAGCTAGTAAAAGGAAATTACCTCAACATAGT